CTATCTATCTATCTATCTATCTATCTATCTATCTATCTATCTATCTATCTACAAAACCCTCAGTGACCCCATGGTTTTGCTGCTGCTTATGCCCACATTAATTGCTGTGTTTGCATGAGGGTAATTTGCCATCCAAATCACACCTGTCCACAACAGCAGCAGCATCCGGAGCAAGGGGGACAGAGAAGACTTGATTCATGAGAGGTTTTCCACAGAGGAACTGTACAGATTTGAGCTTTTCTTCTGATCACCGGTCAGATGGTCAACCATTAAGGGGCCACCTAGTAAATGCAGGGAATTAGTTTGTTCTCCCTATATAGATACTCATTTGTGTCAGTTTGTACCTGTTGCCTAGCAGCTTTTTTTCCTTTTTCTTTTTTTTGGTATGGAAAATATTATTTTTTTCCTCAGAAATGAATCATCAGACGTGCCAGCTGTAAAATGTGTGAAGTGTCCAAGTGAAATGACCATTTATCACACGCAATTTCACAAAGCCTTTACTGGAATGTCTAGGCTGGATATGAATGTGTTACTTGGAATTTACCAGGGCCAGGGGATACTCTCTCTTTAGATGATGAGAGAATTTACTAAGCCTTAGGGGGAAAAAAGAAACAACGTTTCTTCCTTACATAACATGAACATGGCTGCGGCCCTGTACTGCCCTCTGCTGGCACTGTATTAACATTACGGCAGTGAATTCAAAGGTTCGCTTACTTTTTGTTCATGTGGCTTAATTATCTTCACAATTCACAAACGTCCGCTTTTATGAGTATGTGTGAAGTTTTTAAATACAAAAGAGTGCTCTTGTACGTGCTTCCCCTCCGGTTCAATTTAGTCAGTCACAATTCAATTTAAAAAATTAATTTACTCTATTAGCTAACAGGTAGCAGTCGTTCCGATCAGCTTAAGTCTGAACAAACGTGATAAACATCCTCTGCTCAAAGCGTAGAAACACAACAACATTAGTCCACAGAGCCATGCCACGTCTTCAGGTCTCCGTGTTATCGGCAGAGGGCAGCAGAAGCCCCTTCAGGGGGCGGAGGATTAGAGATGTTTTTCTCCACGTTTGGCCCCACCGAGGAACTTCGTGCTGTATGTGCCTCGGTAAATGCATTTTGATGCCAATATAGCTGATAGCAACTCCTGTAGATATCTCTAAACAGCACGTTGTTTATCTTATCGAAAAAGGAGGCTCGGCTAGCCTGAAGGGTGAACTCCTCCTATCGGACAGGGCAGGGCCAATAGAAAGAGAGGGCGGGTGGACGGGGGCAAAACAGTCCGGAGCCCTGCACAACAACAAGTTATGCTAACTTAATGCCCGCCTTTTCGTCTTCCCTATGCTGCAAAGAGCTAAGGCTTAACGACTCCAGGGGAGTAACCAAAGGGACAGACAGGTAAACTAGCAAACGAGCTGTGCAAAAATGTTCCTCTTCGTTGCGGCACGAGAGCTGGTGTGCGATAGCTGTGAGTGACCCGCGTCAGTTGATGGCCGCTGTGTGAAGTTGGTAAATAGGGATTGACCTCGTGGTGACAGACACAGTGGTCTGGACGCTGCTGGCCGCCGCAGCAGGCAGAGGACAGCTAGCCCAGGGGCGACAGGGCTCCTGCTGCCAGTAAACACTGTCAAGCGAACAAGTCAAATCCTTCCGAGACTCCTGTAATATAACTCAATGGCGTCTGTTGTTTGAACTGAGTGGCCTGTCTCGGTTGACCTCAGCCCCCCCCCCTCCCCAAAAAAAAAAAAAAAAAAAAAACTGCGGCTGGTGAGTTTTTCATACCCTACCGCTCACTTTATACATTAGCTGTTACATATGCACGACACGCCGCTGTATTTTGGGTGAGCCTTCTCTCTCCCTGTCCCTTTAACCGGGGACGGGGCGCGTGCAGCGTGCTGACGTGCCTGACATATGGCGGCGCTGTGGCTGTCCGTACTTGTGCAGAACTTAGCTGCTAACTGGAACTTACTCGGCTCTCTCAACCGACACAACCCCCTCGGTTTTCTGCGGTCAAAGCAGCTTTAACGCTAGTTCTTAATCTGTGGTCGTTTAAATACGTGGCACGCGTGTATTGATACAGGGTCTCGTGGTTCCACGCCCGCCAGGAAGGTCACTGATTTTTTTTTGTTTTTCTTCTTCTTGTATGGGCCACTCTCATTAGTTTGAGGGATTCTGTGACATAACGCTCAAAAAGTGACTTTGTACCAACAGATACTGAAGGTGAGGCTTACTTAATTTACTCTATGACATAAACAGACATAAGCATTTGTTTTTTTTAAGGGAGAAAACGTGTTCGGACGAGTGTTTTCTTATTTACCGTAATAAGTGTTTATGACAGCCCTGAATTATGATGCGATTTGTAATCACAAGACCTATTTGAATTTGAAAAAATTCCTTTTAATACAGAAAGTAAACAGGTGGATGTTTGCATGAAATAGTCTACAAGACTACTTTTAAATGAGCTATTATGGCAGTTTGTCTAATCCTTCTCAAAAGAAAATAATTTAAAGTGACATAAGAGTTAATGGTCTTAGTTTGCTGGTTCATTTTCTGAGTGGCAGAAATGTCACATCCATCCATCCATCCATTCATCCATTATCGTAACTTCTTATTCCCAAATGGGGTCGTCGGGGGACTTGAGCCTATCCAAGTAGTCAATGGGCGGGCGTAACATACATTTAAGTCCATCTGATCATAGCTGTGATATAAATAACTAGAGAAATATGACTTTCTGTATAAGGACATTCTATTGTGATATAGTTTTATAATTCAGCGGATAATAAATGTTAGGTGGACCCATGGCTTATTACTTTTCATTCATTGGTAGTGACCATTACACCCTAAAACAGGTTCTGACAGGGTATATGTTAAATTTGAACACAGACTAACCATCCTGGTCGGGCTCTTGCTGGGAACGTGGTCTTATTCACGTTTCTCCTTAGTGGTGATGATATCATTGCCGTGACGACTCACCGCTGCACAGCTACGGGAAATATTTCCCAATTTTGGCTCAGGAGCTGTTGTCAGGGCAGTGATTATGTACCGTCAGCTATTAGGTGTACTGAACAGCACTCAGAGCTGGTGAACACTGCATGGCTATTTTCAAAGCAGGGGACTATGGCTTGTGCAGCAGACAACAGCTGAGGCTTAAGTGTTCAGTGTGTGCGCCCCCCTGTTACAATGCCATGTGGAGTCACACTTAAAGCATGGTTACAAAACTAGTTGACCTTTCAGTTTTCTTCTCCTGCAGTTGAGGAAAGAGGGTTGTGTCCATCTTCACAGGCTTCACGTCCATGCTGAGAAAAGGAGAAGTTACTCAATACACTACATTTTGAAACTTCTCCCCAAAAAAGCTTTCACAATAAATTATTTCAGTCAAAGATTTACACTTCAGAATCTTTGTGCACACTCATCGGTTAATGTAAAAAAAGGGTAACAAGCTGCAGCCATATACACTGCAGAGCAGACATTTGAATGAGCATCATCTTACAGTTGCAGGTTCTATTTCATTGGAGTGTTCACAGATTTCTATATTAATCCCCAGATTATTTTAAAGATACACTTTGGAAAAAGAGATAGCTCATGATGCAAATGTTTCAAAATTAGGTGACTGTCTCGTGTAAAGTTTTGGAAACCTTTGTAGAACAGATCTGCACATGTATCATCATTGGTAAACTTGGCAGAATTTAGACAAAAGCTTTAGTTTTTTAAGAGCCATGACTAAAGATTCGTTTTATTATCCATTTTGTTGCTTGTCATCTTTTCATGAAGGTGGTTTGTCCATCTAATGTAGTTAGAAAAAAATAACTATGACAGCTCAGAGCCTTAGATGAGTGAAAGTCTAAATAATAACATGGTCATGCTAATTAAGTGCAGAGACGCATAGCAGCCCTTAAGGAGAACGGATGACCCACTTAACTGACTCAGCCAGACTGTGTGTGGTGCTTTACGTATTGCTAAGGCTCTCAGCAGCAGCAGCTTTTTTCATCGGTGCAAATCCCACCTTAGCTGTGTTGAAGCTCAGTGTCACACCCACAACATGGCACCTGTGCCACGGTAACAACAAACACCTGTAACACACAGGAATGCTATTAAAGAGCCCAGATGTGACCTGCTGTTAGCATCGTAAGTAAACACTGAGTCATATTTAAAACCATCAGTGTCCTATTTAGCTTTGTCCCTTTGAGATAAGCTTTCGAAAATAAGCTCGCCACCCAATCAGGTGTATAAAAAGATTGTGAGGAGGAACTTCTGACAGCAGACCTTGAACACGATACAAACCTGTGCACCCCGTTGGCTCGTGCTCTGAAATAGCTGGAACACTCACTGTATCTCGCTCCTCTCCCCTTTCGTTTCCAGTGACATTTTCAGATCCAGTCCTGGACTGCACATTCAGAGCTTACATGCACGGGATTGGTCTCTCCTTTCTAGTGTGTGTGTACACTCAAACAGAGCCTGGAGGTCATAAGTATTTTTAGACACAGTCAAGACAGCTGTATACGATTGTGTGTGAGCGTTTATGCTGGCAACATAGGGTGCGCGGACAACAACTTTTATGTATTTCCATGTGCCTCCTTGTTCGTCTGCAGGTCTTTGTTCTCTGTCTTCTTGTCCCTCCTGACCACTTCAAGTCAGACAGTTGGATACAGAGTCCTCTTTTACGTTACTTTTTGGTTCCGGGCACTTCGATTACTTTTTGGTACATTCATAAGCAGTAGAAAAGTGACGCTTACCCTGCATTCAGTATTCTTCTGGCTTTGTGTGCAGTCCATCATGGCAGGCGATATGATGTTATTGATGCGAGGCTTGGCCAAGTTGAGCCAGGCAGTGGTGGAGACTCAGAGCAGCACCCTGCGCAGCGGAACAGGTGAGTTCACCATCACCACTTTTCTCCCACTTTGTTACAGTGGTAGTTATTGTTCCTTAGGTTATAATTCCACTGAATCAAACAGCTGTGTACTTAAATCAAATGCTTATGAGCTAAGAGTGCCACCCGTGGATGGTTAGCATTGCTCAGTCTAACAGTAAAACTTCCATTTACTCTATTTTTTTCTTCAACTTTAACCATTTATCCATGTCATATATGTCTAAAGTTGTGTTCAAGAAAAGTTAGCTTCTAGCTCCCACTGTTGTCTTTATGGCTTTCATTCAGGCCAGCACAGAAATTCCTTACTGAAATACAGTATGTGTATTTTTTGGAGAGCGGGAAAGCGTAATCTTCTGAAATTAGTTTCTACATGATAACCAAAGTTGAACAGTAAGCCGTCCCTCTTTATGAGGCTGTTTATGTTTAATAGAGAAAAAAAGGGTTTCCCATTGTTTCAAATCTGTAATTGCAATTTTACTGTTGTTCTCTCCTCAGTTTTATTTGTGGTCATGCATTTTAAACAAATTTGTATTCTTAATATGTTGTAAAAATAGTCCAAATCATCAAACCCAGTAAATATCTTAAATTAAATTAAAAAAAAAAGACATTTCTGAGCCAAAAAAAAAACATGCCACGTTCCCTGTTGTTGCTTGATGAAGTGCAAAAAATTAGCCAATAAAACTAACATGTTTTAGGAGACAAATGACTGTAACATTGACTTATTTATTTTTTGATTGTCCAAGTCGAAGTAGATATTTGAATTACAAATAAATAGATATGGTACTGTACCCTTAACTAAGAAAGGTATTATACCTTTGACATTTTTTTTTGTTTCGGTGTTTTCAATCTAGCAGTACCAGGGCTCGGTGCAGCTGTGCAAGGTGTCCAAGTAGCTGCAGAGCAAGGCCTGTCTGTGGCCATGATGAAAATGCAGGTATGTCAACATGTTGGCAAACAGTTATGTGTAAATCTTTGTCACTGGAACGTTTGGTCTTTTGTGTTTAGGTCTTTAGGTGAGCAGATGGCGTTTCTGTATTAAAGTTCAGATCTAAGACAAACTTTATTTACAGGAGCTGTCTGGACAGCAGGAAACCTCCTCATCAGAGTCCGAGTTTGACTTCCCTCAGGATGATAGCACATTCACACCCTCTGAGTTCAGGGAGGAAGGAGTGGACTTCACAGCCGAACCATCTGAGAATAGTACCGAGGCAACAGCGGGGCCGAACCATGTCGGTGGGAGCAAGCCATTGTTTGAGGGATACAAAGATCCAAGCAAACAGTTTAGTGGTCACACCAGATCATACCACCAGGACGCCAGGTATGGAGAGGTTGTGCTGTAGCTGCAGCTCGTGCTTTGGTTTGGAATGTCCGATTAATACAATCACCTGTACTTTGCATGTGACAGACACTTCCTTGGACAGCATCAACTCTACAGCCAAAGCCTGAACAGGCATGTTTGGCAAGATGTTTATTGTCAGCACCCGGTGAGTCAGCCCAGGTTCTACCATCAAGACCCGCCCTCAGTAGGGGGTTTGACGGCAGAAGACATAAGGAAAACCAGGCAGAGCAAGAGGCCTGACGCCAAACCACACAAACAGATGGTAATCCCTGCTTCCCACGTTTGCCATGCTTATCTCTTTAAGCATAACAGCACATGGGTATTCATGCGAAACCTGATGTTCCACTTTGTCTCATTAGTTAAGTGAGAGAGCCCGAGAGAGGAAGGTGCCTGTGACCCGGCTTGGCAGACTGGCTAACTTTGGAGGTACAGCGATGCATGTTCCTGTTGCTGTGTCTGAATCTTGGATGAATCATCGTCTGGTTGTTTTGCTTTATCTGCACCCATTTGTTATCTAACCAGAGCTCTCAGAATGACTCGTGGTATACATAACATTTATTGGAATATATCCTTTGGCTGGCGTTTAGGAAATGAAGGCCTTTTCTTCTAAGGGTTTAGATGAGTTGATTAAGGTCTCACTACCCAAACTTTGTAATCTGTGGTCTGACTTGAACCTACCCGACAAGGAGGGATCAGTGGGTGTAGAAGAGTTGTTGTTGTGGTCAGACCAGAGCTGCACTAAACACATATAGATGTTGGGGGGAAACGCCTTTTGAAAGGAAGATGGCACTTGTATTTTTGTTGATTGTCGCCTGTTTTCCCTGACGAACAGTCTTTGTGTAGACAGATTTGTGAAAGGAAAAATGCATTTAAGATGTAATTCATTCAGAATTTGTCAGTGTAGCACATTTCCATTGGTGTGTTCTTGGAAGGCGTTTCTTTATTTTCATCGAGCAGTGCAACAGTCAGAAAATCTAATCTTTTTTTTGCGTGATAAAAGTGACGAAGGGGTTGCACCATGTTTCTGCTGGTGGAACTGCTGCTTAGTGGGCAAATTTGAATGTGGTCTTTTCAAAGAGTTAGCCACTACACTTTTCCTGGAAGTAAACAGAAACTACCACCACTATGAAATACCGCCTCCCAACATGAGCTGGTTTGGGAGGTAAGCTTTCAACCTATCACATTCTCTTTCCTGATTAATATATAAAACAGACACTTTGACCTTTGTACCATTTTTTTTTTTTGGAAAACTTATTGTACCCCAACTTTAAAAGTCATACTCTATGTACCTTGAATTTGCAATGTAGACACACAAAATCATTCAGAATTTTCATGTCAGATCTAGTTATTTGTCATAATCTCAAGTGGAAACTCTTCTCTTGTGTCATGTCATGTTGGTCATGACCAATCAGGAGCTTGTTGCTTCATTTTAGAGCTGACAGATAAATCAACAAGGGGCATAAAGTTAAACTGGACCAAAGTAAACCCAGAAACAGTCTCCCATAAATCAGAGCAGACTGCCAACACAAACATGTGCAGCAGAATTTAACCGCAGCTCCTTCCAAACAAGTAGGATATGCGGAGGCCACGGCGTGATTCAACACGGACAGCCGAGATGATTCAGCATGTTGCCAGCGGTAACATTTAGAAGGTGCTGAAAAGAGGGGGAGAAGTGGCGAAGGAACTTGGCCTCAGCCTGTCCTTTACGCTCCCGCAGCCTCAAACTTCTGCGTGGTTCTGGCTGTTTTTTTTCCCAGCTAAAAGTGCGGGCTCCTTAGGATGGAGCAGCTTCAGAGAATCTTAAATCGTTCGGCTTCTTTCCCCGGCAGCAGCCTTGCTGCCAGGCATGCCTCTGCTTTTTAAGATTTCGCTGAGCTTTGTGAAGACTTTGGAGTTTGGGTGTCAATACCAGCTTGCAGAACAGGAATGAGCCTGCGAGTCGAGCTCACGCTGGCCTTTCAGTAAACATGTTGCAGCACTATAGACGGAATGACGGACAGACGCTTGTGCTTGGTTTGGAAAAACAGCTGTCATTCAGAAATGATGATCTGCCCGGCTGAGAGGTGATCATGTTGGCGTCCAGAGATGCAGTACACACAGATACATGATGGTCACTAATCTTCACTCTCTTGTCACTTCTCTTCTCTCTTTTTTCTTTTTTATAAAGCTGCACCACTGAAATCCCCTGTAACCCAAAAAGTGGCAGATTTCAATATGACATAATACCAAAAAAATAAATTTTTGAAGATTGCGCAAGAAAACTGAATACACAAATTCTGAGATTGTGTCACACTGACTTGCTGCCTCTTGGCACAATGAATTTTCTGGCATGAATGAAGAAATGCTCTGTGAACATTTTTACTGAACCCAGAGGTACAGTGTGTGCAGATCATACCACCTCACACTGAATCTCAGATTTGTTGCTTCATTTAGGCCTCTGACTGATTATGTAATGTGGGGTTATGTAAGGTTAGCGGCTTGGCGTGGAGGAACTTGTTCACAAACAGTCCCCTGCACGTGTTGTTTCACTCTTTCTTTGATTCATCTGCAGATATAATCCTCCAACATAGCAGCTTCTTTTTGCTATGTGAAGGAATGATGTGTGTAAATCTCAGTTGGATGGCTGAAGTTCAGAGAAATGAAAGGATTATTCTGCTCATCATCCATCTTGTTTCTTTCTTTTCATGGAAGTTCTGTGTGTGGCAGCAAATTGCTTCTTTTGAGTTTGTTTGAAAAGGAAAACCGCTCTAATAAATGTGTTGTGAAGATGCGTTTGGGCTGCAACCTGTTGATTCACCGGCTGATCTCTGTATGCACAGTTAACACTCCCATTCTGACTGTAACTGTGGTCCTTTTTTTTTCTGTGTGCACCAGGTTTGGCTGTGGGTTTGGGTATCGGAGCCCTGGCAGAAGTTGCCAAGAAGACCATCGGATTCAATGGTGCGGCAGGTAAGAATTAAACAAATGAGAAACTGTCAGGATTTTTCTCTTTTCTCTTTCAAACAATGTGCATTTGAAGCCTCAGTTCCTAAAGAGTTTAATTCAATGTCAATAAAAGCAAATACATTTAAAAGATATATATATACAATATGCAAAGTAGGTAATTGATGTTGAGCATGACACATGTTTTAGACATATTTCATTAATATAGAAAGCGTCCTGTGTGCAAAAGAGAACCGCTACAGACTTTGAGCATTGATGGTACCCCTGCAGAAGGGCCTTTTGCTAGTTCCTTAGGCCTCACATTATCAGAGGAGCAGACTTTTGAATTCAGCATTATTCACATGACAGATGGTCCTTCTCTCATTTGTCTGGAGGATGTCCATAAAAATCTTTATCCATCTGACACAGTACAGGTTCACACATTGCTTCAGTCTATTTGAGACGAGACGATGGCAGCATCTCTGAATCTTCCTCTTGAATAGGCTTAAAATTTCTTTTTTGGTTGCAATGCAATCACTTAATGTTCATCAGTCTTTTTTTGTGCCTCCTAAGGCTCAAAATAATAAAATTTTATTTCTGTAGCACCAAAATCTAAATTTGATTTAAAATCAAGATACTTTAAAGAAACAAGAAAGTCCAAGCCAGTTACATTCATATTTTTACAGCGGGGAGAGCTCACCATCAGTTGCAAAAAGCTTTTTTTCCCCCTTTAGTTTGATTTATTATTTCTAAATAGTTTAACCTTATTATCCTTTCTGAGTAACTGTTTTTGACCCCAGTGATGTTTTTGGCTACTCCCATTTAGCTATCAGGTTCAAGATGAACTTATATTTTCACAAAAGGGTTAAATACCTAACAAACAATTTCCGGCATTATTCTGGAAATTATAATTAGTTGCTTATGATTTTTTTTTATCTAATCATTATAGCCTGTTTTTTGCAATTGAGTCCTCCTGTATAGAAACAATTAATAGAGCATATAAATATGTATCTTTCTTGATAACAGAGCAATAATTAATCTCAGAACTGCCTTTGTTCTTGTTTTTTTTGTTTTTTGCTCATTTAATAAAAGATTGTGGAAAAAGATCTTCACACCAATTCGTTCTGCATGTCAGTGTGTATTCCACACATTTTGAAGGCCTTCTGTCTCTTCTGACTCTTAAAGGGGGCATTCCTGCTCTGCTCCAGTAACTTACTAATCCTAAAACACAGGTTAAGCCCAAGCAGTGCAAATGCGTAAATCTGTGGCATTTGTGCGTCTGTTGGTTGGTATTTATCTTGATGTGTACTTTAATCCTTGCAGGAATGCTCCGAGCACTCTTCTGAGTGTGCGAGTTGTAAATCTCTGTCAAAGCCTCTGAAGGAAGACAAACCATAACATACTACCTACTGACATGACTACAGCCTCACCCCTTAGCACACTCTGTGTATACACCTGGATCTAAATTACTCATGCAGTGCTGCACAGAACTGTTTGTCTACACATTACTGGGGTAATGCTGGCACAGTGTGTTATGTGAATGTTTCATTTCCACTCTCACATCTCTTCCTCTTGTGTCTTAATTTGTTGGGATATGTGAAAACAGGAAAAAGTTCAGACTTTACAACCACGCTAACGTTCTCCGTCCTCAGGTTTCCCAGCCTGCAGGGTCTCTGGGTCGTTGTTGTGGTAACCCGTATGTCTGATGCCCTGTGGATTGACTCTGCTGAGCTTTTCACTCAGTCCAGGAAGGAGGAGGCTTGGCCTGTGTGGCTGTGGCCTCATGAGGGAGGCAGCTGAATATGTTGCTCATTACTTACCTGTCACAGTACTTGGCAGTTAGAGTATTTTCATTGTGACTAGTATTGCAGCATAAAGTCATGAGAAAAATGTGGGTGTGGGTCATTCCACATGTAGACTTGAAAGTTTGTCTTTTGTACCGTTTTATAACGGAAGAGGAGACATGTTTGCCTTCTGAGGCAGCTGGACTGTCATGTGACAATGAGGGAATGTCTCTTGGCAGGCTCTAAGCTTTTTGTTTGTAGCTGAAGCAAGTTTGCCGCAAGTCCTTTGCTTGCAGCTAAAGGCAGGTTAGAAGTGTGGCAGCAGTCAACAAAAGCAATAAAAGGATACTTACTGCCCCGAATTCCAGCAACATCCTCCACTCTGTTGATATGAACCCCCAGTGACTGACAAAAGAAGCACACAGTCACACTTTATATTTTGCCTTCCTCTTCCCAAGCCAGATCTGTCATAAATCACATTTGCTTTGAGCCATGAGCATGAAACCCCAAATCATTTCCCTTTTGTGCTTCTCCAGGTGACAATAAGAAAGCGGTCCTGGACTCCAGCCCTTTTCTGTCAGAGGCCAACGCAGAGCGCATTGTCAGAACCCTTTGCAAAGTCCGAGGAGCGGCACTGAAACTTGGACAGATGCTCAGCATACAAGGTGACAACGTTCACATTTAGAGACTTAAGCTTTTAATGTGTGCATATTTTCTTTCTCCCAGATTTAAGGGATCAGTAGGACTAAATAAGTTTAATAACTAGATTCATGGTACAGGAAGTCGTTTTTGATGGTGGGTCTATCTTTTTATTTAAATTGAGTATTTGTGTATTCAAATTATTTCTTTGTAATTGGGATCAGTTGGTCCGAATCACTCGTAAAAAGAACACAGTTTTAGCTTTCTAGAATCAGCACATCTCTAGATCACCTATGTCCCCATATGAGGACACACAGGGTATGCCTTCCTGGGGCACACAACAGATACATGATTGGATTAAAATGCATCAATCCGGTTTATATATTTGATTTCAGACCTTAATGCCTGATAGTGTCTACTCTACTCTGAGGCCAATTGGAGCTAACCTGCTTGTAAATGAATGCTGGTTTGTACTCTGCACAAACTGCAAACACAAGTGCATGCCTGACGGCAGTAAACATGCTAGTCCTGAGGTTGTGAAGGCGGCTCAGGTAACAGCAGTAAACACATCAAAACAATTTTGTTTACCACTTTTTAGCCCACCGCCTGACCTTGCCTGGTGAGCTTTGTCCTTTGGTATTTATGCTCGGAGCTGCAAACCTGTCGGTACAGTCTCAAACAACACCGTGCAGTAAATGGAACGAGTAAACGCAGTAGGACAAGGGTCTCTTAGTGTATGCCAATCAGGTTTCAGCACGATGGATAGTCCTATATGTATGTGCATAGTTACCTAAATAACCGCCATGGCTCTCTTTATAGAGGGGACAAGTCGATTCTTAAATCATGAGGAAAGAGGTGACAGCAGCTTTCTGTAACTTGACACTCGACTTCACCTGTAAGTGGTGAAGAAGGGCTGACAGGAGTTGAGTAAATGGGGAGAACAGAAGAAACAGCGGTGCTCATTGCCCTCTGCTGACATTATCTGTTATGGCAGGAATGCAGTTGTGGACAGATGACCCCAGCTATAGCACCCTTTAGCATGATACTTGAACAACCTTGAGATGTCTGGAAGTGTGTGAAACTTCTTTGTCATGCTGATTGTTGATGGCACCCGTGCAGTCGGCCAAAAACAATTTTAGTAGCTGGCAAAAAGTAAAGGTTTTGTTTTGATAGTGTTAAAGCCTGACATCGTAGTCACCTCAGTTTGAAATCTGTGGCTTACATGCTCATGTCTGCTGTAAGAGCTCAGCTCAGTGTCTGTGTCAGTGACTGATTTATTACAACTATTCATTTGTGTCTCAGGTTTCTGCTCTCTGAGCATTTAAACTGAAACATGTTTTCAGTCCTGTTAAAACTCAGCCATCAGCGTTGGAAATCCTGCGCGCTCACGTTCAGTTTAAGTCATTCTTACTCTGTATGGTGATTATTGGAGAGGCTGCTGTGTTGGATTTCAATCACTTACCGTAGTAAGCGCTTGCTCTGATAATTTTTTAAAACGTTATTCATGAAATGATTTTCAAGGATTTCATATGCTTTGTTTCAGATGATGCATTCATCAATCCTCAACTTGCCAAGATTTTTGACCGCGTAAGACAGAGTGCTGACTTCATGCCAATTAAACAAATGACAGTAAGGATCTTTTCTTTTGCACAAACTTGTATTTGTATGTTTTAATGCATAATGGTAATAATTATGCTAAATTGATCACTGTTAGGATGAAATGAGATAACCTGTAGACGGTGTTTTACAGAAAGCGCTGAACAGTGACTTGGGTCCTAACTGGAGAGACAAGCTGGAATCTTTTGAGGACCGTCCGTTCGCAGCAGCCTCCATTGGTCAAGTTCACCTAGCGAGGATGAAGGACGGCAGGGAGGTGGCCATGAAAATACAGGTTTGGATATGAATTAGCATGTGCATCACCATGATCATTAGACAGATAACTTTGTGAGGCTCCCAATCTAAGATACAGTAATTATTAAAACGTTAATTTACAAACGTTGGATGACATTTAACGCAACACATTCTATGATTGAAATAAGAAATATAGCCGTGCGGCTTCTGTTTTTCCTTTGGTTTCTGACCTTTTTCCTCTCTCTGCTTTCAGTATCCTGGAGTGGCTCAGAGTATAAACAGTGACGTCAATAACCTGATGGCGGTGCTGAACATGAGCAATGCCCTACCTGAAGGTCCACTCAAACACACACACACACTAAAACAAAAATCTTTCTGAGTGCCTTTTTTCTGTTTGTTTGTTTTTTTTTGTGCAAGCTGCTAAACGTGTTGGCCTCTTGTTTGAGTCCAGGATGCTTTTCTAGTAAATTGTTAAAGTAATCTTTCTGGTTATACTAGCTGGACTCAACTGATGGGGGGTGTATCCTGGTTTCGTCTGCTATTAGGTCTGACCTAAATGTTGCACTTAAATAACCCAACATTTTTATATAATTCTGCAGGTGTTTGGAAGCCATGTATTCCACAGCTGACTTCCTAGAACCCACTGCACTTAACAGAATTGAACAAAATGTCTTAAAAATCAAACACACTGTCTTGGTTCGTCATACTGAACCTCTGCTGCTTTCTAAGCCCATATTAAGGGTCATTGCTTTCCTTTGCTGTCTCCATGTCTAAAAGAAGCTGTGGAACATGAACACGGGGCCATTTGTCTGAATGAGAAATGCTTTGGAACTGTGATTCATGTGTTTAGGTTTTGTTGCCGCCAGTAGCTCGTTTGCCTTAATCCTGTGTTTGCTACCGTTGTCAACATTCATCCCAACCTTTTTCCCCTTTTGTTTGTGTCTCACTAGGTCTGTTTCCAGAGCATCTAATAGATGTCATGAGAAGGGAGCTCGCGCTGGAGTGCGACTACATCAGAGAAGCCCAGTGTGCAAAGAAGTTTAGGTATCCTGCTGCAAATGCATGCAGTTTCTGCACAACATAACAATCTCCTGGAGATCGGGCATACTTTTTACTCCTCTTTTAAATGGCTTAGTCTGCATCTAAGCCATCTGAAATCCCTCTTTATGAAATCCTGGAGATATGAAGGGACTTTAGACAGAATTCATGTTCCGTGGCTGATGATCCGCGCCGCATTCAGTTGTTGGTTTCCCAGTTAAAATGGAAGGGTGGAGCTATTTAAGCTCCATTGCTGGAGCCTCTGCACCGTACAGCCTGGCTCTCTTTCCCTAAATACATAACATAGCAGAGACTCTTAAAACACTCAAGTTACAAACACATGGCTTATTCCATTCCCTTATTAAATGTTGATCTCATCAAGGTCAGAACAAGTGCGACAGCAACTCATCCTTGTATGGACTTAGCACTCTTCATGGACTACCTGACTTTGATTCAGCTCTTGTCTCATTCAGGGAGCTCCTGAAGGATGATCCATTCTTCTACGTGCCAGAGGTGATCGAGGAGCTGAGCAGCAGTCATGTCCTGACGACTGAGCTTGTTCCTGGGTTTCCCCTGGACCAGGCTGAGAGCCTGTCGCAGGACCTGAAGAACGAGGTACAGCAAAGTGGACTTAGGTGGTGATGAATAGAATGTCCCCTAATGTGTAGATAGGAAGCGTATACATACCCCTTACAATGTTACTCATTTGCTCTTGTTTTCATTTATTTTTTTCATTTATTACCACAACTTGAAGCTACGACTATTTAGAATTGTTTTATAGATTCCTAATGCACATGCGTGTGTGTTTGCGTATGTGTGTGTGTCTCTGTCTCAGATCTGCGAGAACATCCTGCTGCTTTGCCTCAGAGAGCTGTTTGAGTTCCGGTACATGCAGACTGATCCAAACTGGTCCAACTTCCTCTACGATCCGCAGACACACAAGGCGAGTCCTGCCTACAGCCCTTCCTGGGCTTCATGGCGTTTGTCTGAGAGGGACAAGTGAAGAGAATGAGTGGTGTTCTATCTCTGTAGGTGGCGCTGTTGGACTTCGGAGCCACAAGAGGATTCGACCAAAGCTTTACTGATGTCTACATAGAGGTAAGGCCAGTGTGGCATGCCTATGCATAGACCGGCAGTACCACACAGCAACGATGGGAGGAGGAGGGAGGTGTGATGGCAGGAACACCTGTGATTGCAGGTTATCCGTTCAGCTGCTGAGGGAGACCGAGAGGGAGTTCTGAAGAAATCCATTGAGATGAAGTTCCTGACGGGCTATGAGTCAAAGGTAGTATCTGCGCACGTGTAAAGGAGACGTGTTTTTGGGGTTACAGTCGTATGCTGTTGTGGCTTTGTGGGTTTGTTTTAGTGGACCAAACCAGTGGGCTAACCAGTAAATGAAAAAGTGAAAGTGGTGGCCGTTAAAACCCCTCATGAGATGCAGCACATAGTCTTGTTAGTTAGTCAGTGGAGCGCAGAGCAGCTAGAGCGTGAGGCTGCAGGATCGTGGTGTGCTTCAATAGGAAATTTTGCTCCCCGCATCCAGGCAATGGTGAACGCACACGTCGACGCTGTAATGATCCTCGGCGAGGCCTTCGCCTCCACCGAGACCTTCGACTTCGGCTCCCAGTCCACCACCGAGAGGATCCACAACCTCATCCCCGTGATGCTCAAGCACCGGCTCACTCCCCCTCCAGAGGAGACGTACTCACTCCACCGCAAGATGGGCGGCTCCTTCCTCATCTGCTCCCGGCTCAACGCAAAGCTGCAGTGTAACGATATGTTCCACACGGCTTATCAGAATTACTGGAAAGGCCGCACACCACCCTCTAACTTGGCATAAACCGATCAGCATCAGGGCATTTGATGGATTCGTCCCCAGGGGCCAACAGCTAAAGTGCCCATTGATGGTGAGGCTGGGGTGAGACGAGACAGACATGCAGAACAGAGGCCTCACCCGCCCTTAAGTGGTGATCAAACACTGGTGTGTCTTTCCGATTTTGGGCAACTGACTGATCAGCTCATTGAAAAGCATTATACACACTCACAAGAACCTTTTTTTCTTTGTTTTGCTTTTGAACGAGGGAGCAGCAACATTTAGGTGTGCGTGTGGATGGATGGCCCTGAAAGAAAAGCAAGAATGTAAAAAAGTTGGAATTTGATATCTCTTCTGATTATTTCAACACAATTCTAGGATGGTTGCATTTGTGTTGCTGTGTTTTTTTTTGTTTTGTTTTTTTTCCTTGGTCCAGTTTGCCATGAACCTCATATAGCAGGCATCAGTCTCAGTATTGGCCAGGACCAACGCGTCTGTGTCACAAAGAAGTCTTTCTGCTGAAGGCAGTTGACTACACTGACATCCTACATAAGACTCTGAGAAATGTTTATTGGCAGATTCAGTGTTTAAAGTAAAAAAGTTCCACAAGAAGACAGTACGTACAGAATCTTCGCGTCAGAGTAGCCATGCAGACTTCAGTACTTATAGAGGCTCTTTTGTCACATTTCAGTTGCTCTTTATGATGTTTAGTTTCTTTGATGATAATGTTTTTTGGGTGTACCATCAATCCAAACTGTTGATCTGTTTAATGATATCCACGATCTGTAGAAGTTTAAGAACCTTTGACTAAGGCATGCTAGCAGATATAGATATGAATTTTTTTTTTTTGTTTGTTTTTTGTCCTGTCGAGGTTCTTTGTGTGTCTTTAAATAGTGTCGGCATTGGCCGTATTTGTCTCTGAATTCCAGGTGATTACATGCATTTTTCCAACTTGACACAGAGTTGCTTCATTCAGTATCAGTTTCAAACCGTTAGATGGGAATTGTGTGTTGTAGGAATTTAACCTCACTCTCCCATAACATATCTAACAAAAAAAGGAGAAAAAAAGTGTCACATCAGCTAAGGGCCTGTGCTCGGTCATGACTGTTAATGGACTACTGGGATGGAAGAAAGCCGTCCTGCTAACGCACAACATCAGCTTGTGGGCTAACCTCGCTCTCATAAGCCGGTATTCTGTCACACCTCCTCTGGTTTCAAACTCCTCTGTTACCTGGCAGGTGTTCAGCTGTGCAAGTTCTCATTGTTCTGCTGCATGGTTACAGTTCTAATGGGGGCTGGTGTGAGAATGGGGGAGAAAAGGAATAAAAATAAATAAATAATGTGCCTGTCGTTTTCAGCAGACAGTTTTAAGCTAGAAACGTTAACTTTATATCTCGTATTGTGTCTCTGGTTCCAATTTTATAAATAAAAATGCATTCTTAACTGAGAAGTTAAATAAAGTAAGGTATGAATGGACTTTATGTCTACACCAGGGAAGTGGTTCATTGTGGTTTTGTGCCATTTTTGTCCCAGAAATTGCTGCTCTTAATTTGTCATGTGTGTTTAAGAATGAAAAAAACAGACAGAGTTTGTCGTCCTTTGTTAGTGTTATCTTTAGCCTGCAAAAGAGGAATTGGCAGGTAGCCTGGAAAATGAGTACACACAGACACACACACATCTATTCACAAACTAAACAAAAGATTTCTAAGTGTCTGTGCAAAAGAATCACGCAAGAAAAAAATGCAAAGAAATGTGAGTGCGTTTACATCAACACATAATGATCCATATTTAGATAATATTACATATTTTATTCTAGCAAGTCAGAGCAGCTGTCTGAAGGGGTTTTATGAGGTTGTTGCAGTTCCTCTTAGTGTCCAGCAGGAGGCGCTGCTAACGGGGCTTTGGCAACAGCTGATATGCAAATGAGATCCTAATACAACCATAAAACATAAGCAGCCCAAAGGCAGACAGATAATTATTTTGGAACACAGCTATTTAAGAATTTTGAAATGGCATTTCTGCTTTATTGAACAACATCCTGTTGCAGAGGTGGGAGCCATTAGAGGAAAAGATGATTACACAAAGCAACACTGATCACATTAGGTGCATATGGACCCATGTGATGATAATTCTGTGTGTGTTTCATTTTGATCCACCAGAGAGCTGTGATTTCAAACAGAAACTCATAAACCTGCTAAGCTTTAGGCTCGGCTCTTTCATATGGAGCGTAGATAAGCTTGTTAAAATGCATTTGTTTAGTTTCTGTAGCCACCCATTGTCTCCCTAACACAGTCTCACAAAAATACAAATTTTACAGCTTGCAAGTGACTAAACTGACCAGAATTAGATTCGGATGCATTTTGTTTTTAATCCGTTTCTCTTCATTCCTAAACCTGCTACAAAAGCACTCATCGGGTTATAGTTATTATTATGGATTTTTGCTAATTTAACTCAACAGATAAAACTTTTCCAGTCTGCCATTGTTTGGATACAGGCCGTTTGAGCTGATGTTTAAGTATGCGACTTTGCCAAAAATGCGCTAGTTTTTCCAAGCATAAATTTGAACTCTACATGAGAGTTAAAAAAAAAAATCCCTACTATAAATAGAAACTTCATATAACACACTTCACAGTTTAGACACTTCACAATTTATGGAGATGCATATTTGAACCCTTAAATCAGGGCTCAGAAAATAGCTTTTTCTGTCATCAGAAAAATGTTTTACTGCTTTACTTACGTTGAGTCTCTTTTTAAGTGATCAAATAACATAGAAATCAGTCTATAAAGAAAATGGAACAGCATTTTTTAGGTAAAATTGTTGCTTAAGAATTTCTACATACTTCAAAAGATCAACAATCTAAACGTAAAGATAGTTTTTTTTTTATATTCTTGTCCATGCTTCTATTCTAACATTATTATACTATGATACGAGTTATAGTAAATGCATATTTCTCCATCGGACCCTGGCTTTATCCAGTTCCATGGGGAGGTTTGAACTCCAGAGTTGACACTGTTTTCTATTTTGTGTTTCTGCGCAATGTCTCAAAGTGTTTTGACAGTGCAACTTTTGGAGCTGAGAGTTAGGTTTCTGTAAAACAATCTGACTGGTTGTGTTTACTTGAGGGACGGGGTGGTGGGAGTGTCAGGAGGATGTTGTGCACAGAGCTGTCTGGTCAGAAACAGCCAGCAGTAACAAAACCTTATTAGGCACAATTCCTCCAAGCAAACACAGCTCACGGCTCAAACCTCAGAAGCTTCCCACAGAGGGACATGACGCCATTCATACACTCACCAGCATAACGGTAGTGCAGATGGTTAAAGTCACTCATCTTAATATTGCCATGGAAACGCGCGGTATGAAGGAATGAAGAAGTGCGCTGCTGAGAAGTGACATAATCTGGGTGACACTGGATGCTCGTTTGACTTCGGTTATCTCGCACTTTTAGTCATTCCCACTGAACGCATTTTGATCTTTGGTGCTTTTCAGTTTCTCATAACCAGCATCACACTCAGTAGCTACATTCAAACAGATGTATGTTTATTCATGCTTCAGATGTTCATTTATTTCCATAAATTGTTAAAACACTGTGTATATATATACAGGACAAAACCATTCATTGAGTCTCTGTTTTCAAACCTGTGACGGCAGATTCTCTGAGTAGAGACTGAGCTTCTGCCTCCCATGGCTCAGAGCATCCATTCGTAAATGAGCAGGGCTTTACTCTGCCTTAGAACTGCTTTAGAAAAGGAAAAATGAGCCATGTGCTGCTATACCTTTGGAATATATTCAAAACTTACACAGTCGTCTCCACGGCTGCACAGTGGTGTGGAGGGTGCCGGGTTGGAATCCCCTCTGGAGTCTGTGTGTATGTGTGTGTGTGTGTGTGTGTGTGTGTGTGTGTGGACTTCACACATTCTGCCTGTGTACGTGGGTTTTTCTGAAGGTAGTCCAGATTCCTCCCACCATCTAAAGGCATGTTACGTTAATTTGTGTTTGTAGATTGGACTGCCTCATCTGTCTCTGTGTGGCATTGGGATGGATCAGCGACCCCCTCCAGGGTGTGTCCTGCCTCTCGCCCGATGACCGTTGGCCTCGGCTCTGACCCTGAACTGGAATAAGTGGGATAGAATATGGATGTCTGAATGGCCATAACAGGAAAATGTTTGATGTGTTGGATCATTGGTTATCAATCTAACCAAGTCACAGGTTCAGAACCAAAAGGAGATTTGATGTTATAACTGTCAGTTTTCTGCCATTATGTGAGTCAAATTCAACTCTGCAAGTGACAGAAATGAGCTGATAAAAACATAAAGTGAGATTTGTGTGTTTTTCTGCGTGTTTGTGGATGTGACTGTGCACGTCTGCTATTTTGCAGACATTTGTTTGTTTGACCTTAAAGATTTGTGTGCAAAAGAATGTTCTGTCTTCATTCAGTGACAAAAAAGCAAGCACAATTTCATCATAAAAACAACTCGGTGATATCTGGGACAATGTTCCATAGGTGCACAGCAAATTTTGCAGTGTTAAAGTAACACTTAAAGAGTTCAATTTAACAACACTTCCAAGGGTATTTGGTCTCACTCTGAATTGGTGTTAAATGAACTCGTTCCATAGTGGTATGTTACTCCAGCTGTTGTTGTAATAACTCTGAAAGTGTCAATTTACTTTGACTCTGCATAATCAACACTGTGGAATTTATTCTATGGATATTACTTTTTAAGAAATGAAAAGTTACCAGGAATTCATGGGTTTGGTATCTTCATGACAGAAATGAATAAATAATTAACATTAAAGCTTTAATGAATCTTTCCTTCAGTGTGGGGATGATGTGTTTTAATACATTGACACCACTTGTGGAACAGGGAATTGTTGCTAGTTGAAGACAGCCAACAATCACTATGGCTTTAAGGGACTTTTAGAAACGTCCCTAGTTGCACTTGAGAGGCTCCTTATTTCAGAATTTAGCGCTCTAAACTAAAACCTCAACAAAGAAAAGACACTGTAGCACAGTGGGAGAACATTAATCATTCGCAAGGCATGATACGCTGTCAGCATTAGAGGCACTATATTAATCATCATCAGCACTGCCATCATCTTTATTCTCATACACGAACACTGCACAGCATATATACAATTCAAACATAATACATCGGGTTTCTCATCCACAGTACAGTTGTATTATTGAAAAGGTATTTGTCTAAAATAATGAAGCGCTTCAAAATTTTACACAAAAGTTCAAATGAAATATCAAAAGAACAAAATGAAATGAAAAAGTAGGTGGTATCACTGGGTAAATTATTCACATAAATCCAGCAGAAGCACAGCCGATCTTGTCATAAAGAAATTCACATCATAATAAAAAATGGAATTCAGCTTTTCTGAATTGAACATAGAAGAAGAAGCAGCTTTCACTGTTACAGAGAAGGCCTCAAAATTATTGGTTTCAGCTTTTCAATGGCCTTAGAATTACATCATGCATCATGAATAAAATAATCTATTACCATTTGCAAGAATATGAGCATTTCTTTAGACTGTTGTGACTAGCTAATATGAAACTTCTGTCTCTAAATTTACATTAACACTGTTGTCCGGTCACTGAAACAAAACGATGGACACCGGGACAATCACAATCAGGCCATAAAACTTTTAAAAAACAAACGTTTTTCAAAGTTGTAACCTGTCCAGGGTGTACCCCACAGCTTGGTGAGGCTCCAGCCTACCGGGAATAAGCGGGATAAACAATGGATGGACAATGGATGTTAAGTCAGAATACATTTAGGTAGGCGTGCAGAGTTTTGGACCAAAGTTGGACAGTTATGATGTCAATATTACCCAGAAAGTCAAGACTTCCCAGGCTGGAAGTCAAAATGGCCCAGCTTTAGTTTAGCTTTAATTTAGTTGTGGGTTGGATCCTGGACTGTTTTTTTTTTAGTCAGTCATTCTCTCTGGTTTTGGGCTGCTCGACCTTTTAAACTGGTGGATATTTTTCATGGAAATGGGCCAATGGTGCAGTGCATGAGAATGTGGATTGGGCAGCATGGGAAAGTCCATAAATGGACCAACAATTTAAACTCTCATGTCAATGATTGAGAACTGTTTGTGCATTTCTTTTCATTTCTGCTTCATGCCCTTTTACACACGTAGAGCACGTTCTCCCATCTCCATCTCTAATATGGAACACTAGTCATCATAAAACATGCGCAGAATCAAGCTGACATGAATATGTAGAAACACTGAACAGCAACATTTGGCTCTTTGGATGAGACAAACTAACCATTCTGATTGAATTTGGCGGAAATTGAATGGGTTGATTATCAGAGTTGCTGACTTTAGTGACAAAGCTGACTAACTCAAGTGTGACAGTATTTTTGCAGCAACGTGGCAGACGGGGTCGTGACCAGACTGTCAAACTGATATATTGGGAACTGCTAATTAGATCCTAAGCTCAAACAAAATGTGGCAAAATTCATCACAAAGTGTCGTGCTGAGGAAAGCGAAAGGCTCATTAACTGTCCCAAATGAAAACGAACTTTTCGTGGCAATAGGTAGGAGAACCCTGAACACAGAAACAAGAAATTATAGGAAACTCTCTGAACCTTTTTAGGGGATCTTCATCTATTACAAACAGGAGCAAAAAGGCCACTACTACACTCCATGAAACAGCATTTTCCAACAGCAAGCCTTTGCTTGTCAGACTAACCTAATCTAAGAGAAACCTGCATGGTTAAACTTCCAGAGAAACATTGTTTTAAACTAACACTGAATATTCCATTTTCTAGAATATTATGCTTTTAAAAAAGGAATAAAATCAACTGGATACTTAAAATGTCTAAGAAAGATTTCCTAATTTAATTCATATTTTCAAGTTGGAATTTTGTGTTTGGCAAATACAAAATGAAACAAAATTCAAATCACTGTTACAATATTCAACAAAACAAAACAAAAACTGTACAGGTTAAGTCTTTTTTTTTCATCCCACCATTCTTTTCCTTTAAAATGTAAACACATAGCAGTCTGATGTTGACCAACCTGCAGCCAGTAATCACAGATTTTTGCCTTGTAAAGCAGTCATTTTGTTTGCGGCATTCTTTTTCATCATGCTTTAGCCTCTCTCTGTAATCAGCTGCAGGCCATTTTGAAGGTAAAGGTTGCCGTATGGCTTCAGGGATGGTTTGGAGGGTAAGGCTGTTTCTCTCAGACATCCTGAGGAATCCCCTGGTCTCTGCAGCCTGGGAAAAGGAAAAGGAGAGACAACAGGGAAAAGCGATCAATATGTTTACCAGGTTGAACAGCTAATTGTTGTTGATGCTCAGATGCATTAGGAGCTGACGCTGCAATAAGTATTGAATAATAAGTTTAGCTATTACCGTAGCTGCACTGAAGTGGCAAACACTAGCAGCTTGGCTTACATAATGGGTCCACATATATTATGAATGTCACTCACTGATGAGACGAAATTCCTTAAGAAAATAGTCTTGAAATGAAATGTCCAACATAGCTGGGGTACTGATGGCTCAAAGTTCTGTAAGGAGGCTACAGTTGGGTGGTTTATCGGTGGAACAGTTAAATGGTGTCAGCAGCAGCAGACTCCAGCTTAGCTTTTGGGAATGCCTGCTTAAAAGGCCCACTGCTATCAACACCCTGACTAAAAGAAAATTAACAATATGACAATAAGTGAAGAGGGAGTTTCAATATTGCCATTTTTAAGGTGCAAGAATACATTTTGTCTCATCAGTTAATTTTGACAGGATTTTCTATGTTTGGTTCTTTTCTTTTTTTCTTTCTATTCTTTCAGTATGGGAAATCACAACTAAATGCTTTTTCTGATACTAAGGAGGAACTATTGAAATGTAGAGAAATACCTACCATCAGAAACTTTCAATTGAGGAGAGCGGTAAGGGAGAAAAGACAGAAGACATAGTTAGCTGAGATCTGTTTCAACGTTTTCTCATGTACATTTAAGTCCATTGATATAGTAAAAACATAGGTGGGTGATTTTTTAAGCATAATCTGACTTTGGTTTTGACCAAGACCAAAGAACATGACTGCATTAATGTAACACCGGTAAGCTGGATCAATGGGAAAAGACAGGAAAGGGGGGAGGATGGTTAAAGTACAAAGAAAAGCATGCAGAAGGAGACTGGGTGAGCTGGCAGGGAGTGGGAGGAATAATATAAGAGATACAAGGAAGGGAAGCAAGGATATAGTGAGATCAGACCGGAACAAACATTAGATAGAGGGAGGCAGATGGAGCAGGATCAGTAGGAGGATATGATACCTCGGTCATCAGATAGATGAGGAAAAAGTAAAGGGAGCAAGATGTGTTTGTAAGAAAGACAGTGGAAGGACGCATGTAAAGTAATTGAAAGAAGAGCCAAGACCGACAAATATTCCACATTTTCAGAGTGATTCACTGAGGACACAAAGGGAGAAAGTGGGAGCAGCTGCAAAGGAGCAGAAACTCCCAAAGCTTTAGAAACGTGTCCTTTGGTGATGACTAGATGAATTACAATTGATCTTCTTGCCAAACTGCATGCATGAAATCACTCTGAGAGGCAGCGCTAACAAGAGAAAACTCAGTATATTCAACAGACTGCCGCTGTTAAAAGGAGCATAGGTTTTTTTGCACCAACATTTTAAGATGACATGAAGCCAGAGGCCTGACAAACAGTGGGGAGCTGTGTACAAAAACACACCAGGGGTGGGACTGCCAATCCTGCACACGTATCTTCTGGGCCGTGCACAAAGAAGGCACACAGGGGCAACAGTTACCTCGCATTTGCACACTCATGCATAGCCCCAGAGGAGACAGGGCTGTGGTAATTCAAAGCTGGCTTTGCACATGGGAGGAATGGTGACACTGTGTGTGTGTGTGTGTGTGTGTGTGTGTG